TTCCACTCAGTTCGAAATAATGTAAGTATTGTGGGTCTCAACTGTTGATATTTTGTTCAATTTATTTGTACTGAAATGGATTCATGAGTGTTTTGAAATTGTAATGTTGTGATTGTTTACTTTTTTCTCCTTTTTTATTGGTGTGGCGGAATGTGGGATTGTTTCCTTGATGTTTGGGATTCTTTGCTTTATGTTTGGAACGATTTAAAATCTGGTATGTATAGGATATTTTGTTCAATGAAATATAACTTGGTTCAGCTAGCAACTCTATTAAAGTCTCTATAAGCAACTGATTAATATTAAGATTAGTTTTAGTATTTTCTAGTTAATTTCAAGAAAAGGTGGCCGAATACCATGATTAAATTAGAACTACTAGAGCTGAAGATAAGCACATTCTCAATAACAAACACAAAAGAGTAAACTTCATTAAACATACATTGGACCAGAAGAAAAACTTATTTATCTATATCTAAACATATGATAGATCGTAGGAAAGGAAAACTGTACATTGAATACTTATTATAAGAATGCTTGAGGCATGATCTACACTCGATATCGAAGCCAAAAATATGGTTTTTATAATTTTTATCTAGAGGTATTTGTCTGTGTGTATGTCCGGACTAAACTCAAAAAGTACTGCATGCATTTACTTAATATGTTGCATGAATCTAACAGGTTGGTACATCATATAGGCTACATATTATCATGCTATCACCTACAGGGGAGATGTGAATCACTGTTCCACGCGGACGAAGTCACGGGCACAGCTAGTACTACATGTTTGGTATTAAATTTTCTAATCCCCTCCAGGAAGAGAATACACATACTAACGTCCCTAATTAAAGCATCCTATAATAAGGTCTTACAACAAAATATAGTGTTATATCAATCAACACGACGCGACGAATTAACGTTGACCCCTTGTAACTCGATCCTATGAAGCCTTTGTAACCAATTTGTCCTGTCATATTTACACCATGTAGCTGTCAATATATACTCTGTAACATGGGGTGATAATTACACCATTTTATGGGGTCATTTTTGTAAAAGGGTTACAAAAAAGATACGGGATTTTTTGTAAGTATCCCAGTCAATTCTGTATGGGTCGTTATGAAATTGTGTACATCTGGGCACCTAATGTATTTTTTCCCCTTTATCAAGAGAGTTTTCCTCATCATCATCAACAGCCTATAAATGCCCACTGACGTATGTTGAGCGAAGCCTCTTCTCACACGGAGAAGGTTTGAGCATTAATCACCACGCTTGCTCAATGCGGATTGGCGATTTCAAACTAATAATTAGAAATTATAAGCTCCGGTTTCCTCACGATGTTTTCTTTCACTGTTTATCAGTGGTGTCTAGATAATCTTAGAAAGTACATATTATAACTCGAAAAAAGTCACAACACAAGAGAGTTTTACCAGTGATTAATAAATAAATTGTTATTGAATATTCTAAAATCAAAATTAAATAGGAATTTAATATAACTAGCAGGCCGTGGAATGTAGATGACTGTCACCCTACGCAAACTAATAACACTCGTAAGATATAGGCTTTAAAATCCATAATTACTTTTAATAGAATAATTTGTAAACAGTTCAATATCTAGAATATTATTGGAATTCGAATTAGTGCTAAATGATGTTAAAATATTTAAGTTCTCTATACAAAACTGGTTGCAATGTAGCTGATGAGTTAATGGACAAAGCTGTCCATGTTTTGAATATTATATTAATTTATATTCATTTTTAATAAATAAGGGTCAAATGAGGGTTTAATCAACTAAGAAAATTTTACCATGGTGAGTGGAATATGAATGTATGATGAAATGGAAATGGTCCTTGATTATGGAACCAAGAGTTTAAGATTTTTGTAAGGATTTGTCTTCTTGAGTGGTTTTTAACCTTTTATCCATGGTAGGACCCCACTTTAAGATACATTCATTCCTGTGTCGTTTACGCAGTTCTTAATTAATTAAGATTTTTTCATGTTTATCAGAAGTAGAACGTCAAATTTTTACCAAAAAATGTGCCATAATATATCTCAGTATTAAAACCATTACTTAACTATTGCAAGACTCCGGTTAAGGAGGTAGGTAATCATGAATCAGCTTGTTTACTCTCCAAAATAACTGTAAAATGTATTTTTATACCGTTTGTTTTGTTTGTTGATAATAAAACAAAACATATAGAAAACCCGACACATACAAAATAAGTTTTACGAAACGACACAAGTAAATCTAAAGAATTTTCCTTACACCGGTATACCCATCAGTCGTACCTACTTTCCACCATAACATCAACATAACTGGAAAAGTTTACTACGGAACATGACAACACATCTTTAGCGATACTTTCAAATCCTGTTACAATGTTATTATTATTGCAGAAAATCCAATAAATTATTTCTTCATCAAAGAGAGACCTTTATCACCAATACTCCCACACACTTTTAAGTGTGGGAGGGTCATGCTTCGGCACGAATGGGCCGGCTCGACCGGAGTGATACCACAGCCTCACAGAAAACCGTGAAACAACTCTTGCGTTAATTACCCCTCTCTCCAATCCCCAATAATCTTCAAATTTCTAATCTACAAAATGCCGGTAACGCACTTGTAACACCTCTGGTGTTTCGGATATCTATGGGCGGCACCGATTGCTTACCATCAGGTGATCCGCCTGCTCGTTTACCAGCTTATTCCATAAAAAACATCATCATCATCTTCGTCATCTTCTTCATGTTACCCCACCTGATATGCACTTCTGACTACTGAACTTATACTACACTGCCATCTAGATCGGCTGGCTGAATGTGATCTGTATCAGCTAACTTTAATTTACGACTGAACGACTGATTGGTGAAAAAGAGATTTTTATTATAAGATTTTTTCATTGAAAACCATTACGACTGTTTTTATCCTTACCCCTAAAATTTAAACTTATTTTCTTGTTTATTAAGACACTTTCCTAACGTACATCGTATGCTTAGTAAGAATAAAGTTCAATAGAAGAATAAAATATATATAAATATTGCCACAACAGATTGTGGCCAAACGTTGGTCCATCAAACATAAAATACAATTACTAAAATTTTACGATACAATACGTAGTAAGAGGCAAAAGTTAATAAACAAATGAAGCTGGTAATAGTGGCAGTAGGTACCTATCGTCATACAGGTAGTAACTTGTTAATACTTGAAGCTGTGGGTCTTAAGTAAAGGTGAGTACACACGAATAGGTTAGTTGTTGATTATATTATTGGTCTAAAATAGATTATGATGGCCGAACTTCACTCACAAACAGACAATTCAATTTTTGACGTTTCAGAAGTATCTCATTAGGTATTAATTAAAATAAATGCTTTGTTTTGACTTTGAAAAAATGCAGACTTTGATAAAATCTTCATGCCAAGAAAAGTGGTATCAGGGTTTTAACGAGAAGCTTCTCCCATTTAATGAATAGGATAAAAAAATTACAGGTGAATTGGCTACCTACCTACTTGCCTTAACCAAAAATAAATTATTGCGACTGTTCAATACCATAAAATATAAAAAAATAATCACATTTTCATTAATAGATTTTATAACCAACTTAATTTTAGTATTTTTCCAGTAACTTTTTAAGAAATAAGTATGCCATTTGATGCTAAAAAACGTGACGTCACAATACACAATGTTCTACAAAATTCATAGAAAACTATAGGTAGTTAGTTAGACAGTTCGAAAAAAGTATTGAATTTGACTAATTCGCAAGTACCCAATTGTTAAAAAGACTACACCATACTTACTATCAAACCTCTTTTCTGACAAATCGTAGTTATTATTTAATTTTTTTTTATACACTTACGAGGTAGACCAGAGAGTAGGCATAGAAGACAATTTGTCTTGATTGGACATTTCTTAGAACTATGAGATCTTGATACCTAATTTATATTGATATAGTCTCATTTTTATATTTAAATCACTAGAAAAACAATGATTATCAAATAACCTTAACGGATTTCAAGAATCTTGTAATGATGCATGATGGGCAGGAGAGGTAGTATCGAATACGGTTTTTCAATGAAAAGTATAGTTTGTGCTCAATTCAGATAAATAATGTTTTGTTTTAAATGTTATATGGGATGATACAGGATATAGGCTCACCCCCTATTACATGGGATTCATAGTGATATTATGTTTGTCATTATTGAAAAGTGGGTGTTACATTGTTCAGTGGCATAATGTGCACCTTTGCCTACTCCTTCGGGGATAAAGGGCGTGATGTTATGATGATGATACAGGGTCCAATGATAAATGTGTGTTAGTGATTATATCAAGTCCTAGATCCACAAGAAATGTGTTATAGATACATGTAACGGATCATAATTATAATAATGTGCGTTGCGATTTATTAAAAATTTATATATTTATTAAAAATCAGATGAATATTATAGAGATAATATTTTATGCTTGTTCAATACCACAGTTACATCTGTGTGTTCTAGTCCTAAGTATCGTTGTGATAATTTTATAATCTACAATTTTGCGCAAGAATAGGACTGTCAACTAGCAAAATAATATTTTTATTTGAAACAATATTTTCTAGTGTGAACTAAAATATACCTTATACAGAGTTCTGTTAGTTTTATGACAAAATGTTTTTAAAAAAATAATACTACTCATAAATAATTTACAAAAAAGAAATTTTGACTAAGAAGAAAAGCAATTGAAACAGTAAGTAAGTACCTAATATTGTCTGAAATATGATTTACTTGTTTTGTTGGATAACAATAAATGACAGAAGACGTATTCATTTTTATGTTTACAATATTAGAAAAGCATCGTTTTAGAAAGATCACAATATAATCTAACAAATTGTACACTTTTAAAATAATAAACTTATTGTAAAAATATTAAATGAACACTTTATTTTTATAACAATAATAAACTTTAGTTATTAAATAGTGTTTTTTGTAACAGATTTTTTATTTTACAAAAAAAAAATTAAAAGAAAACTTACCTCATATCCGAGAGTGTAGTGCTGCAGCTCAAAAAAATAATCTCCAAACACAACACCCACCCGAGGCACACAACGGGAAATAGTCCACAAAAATAAAAACATTCACGGTTTATAAAGACATATTTGAAATTCAATGCGATCGTGAAAAATAGGATTGAATATAAAACCAAAATCAAAAACATGAATTATGCACTTCGCCTAGCAAGTGGAAGGTTGCATTTTTATTATACTGAACAAAAAAAAATCTATGAATTTCATTTCGTAATATCCTGTTCTGGAGTTTATTACATCAATATTGTGTTATTAAACATTTTATTTTATAAATTTATTATTCAAAAAATTATTGCCAATATGTTACACAAAACACACTGTTATTATTTTGTAAAATAAGAAAAACACTTCACTTTGTTTTTTTTTAAATAAATATAAAACAAATATTTGACATTTAATTTAGTTCATTAAGGCTAGGTCACATTATTGCCGATATCGATACCGATTGTTATCTAGTGAGCTTTCGATGCTCATGTCGTACGCGCTGCAAACCGACTGCAACGCTCATGCGCGTGCAGTGTAAAGCTAGCGATGCATCACTATCAAATAAACAAAAACTGCAAAGCCAAGCTCGGCTCGAGCTTCGAGCTTCGAACGAAATGTTAATTTTATTAGCAATTTCATTAAAGCAATAACGCATTGGATGCGGTTTTGGTATCGTTTCGGTTGCGGAAATATCTGTTAATTTTATTACCGTGTTTATGCATTTATTACGTTGTAATTTTTCGATGTTTATTTTGTATTAATTAATGATGTTTTATTGTGTTTTTATTGCTTGTAAAATATTTCGTTTTAAATTGTTAAAATTTATTTTATTACAATACGAAATAATAACGCGAATTTATTTTATAATGTAATTTAATATATATTGCATCCCAACCTAAATACCAGGCAATAAAATTTACGACCGCTATCGAAGACCAAACGAAAACATCTTAACAGTCTACTTACTCTTAATTACACACACATAAATAACATTTGAGTAGCTACAGCCCTAAGTACTTAGTGTTATCAGTTTTCGAATCATCCTCCTTATGTGCCATTTAATTAATCGAACACTAGAAAAAAAAAATAAGAAGAGCGCGCAGTATGCAAGGAGCGTGTTCTGTTATAAATATAAACCGCCCGGTGACAATGGACAGTCCGTCACTCGATCTAAATCAAGGATATGTGTTGTATACTTCTTGTATATGTGTTGTATACACGTCGTATCTGTATACAATGTGTAGCACTAATCGTTTATACAAATTGGCTTCTGAAAGCTTGTGTGTCGGCATTATGATTCACGGTTTAATATTTTAGGTGGGAAGTGTTGTACGATTTATGTAAATTATAAGTTAATGAGGTTATAATAAAATTCAGTTTCCTGTACCTACTGTGGTGTGTTAATCTTAGATATGAAAATTTATTCACTTTTAATAGATGGTTTTGTAATGAGACGTAAATACGAGAGTGAATTGAAAAATCATCGTCTCGTTTTCCCGAAGTTTTAAGGGAAAATGTGTAAAAAAATCCTATCGTTACATCTTTTATAGATCCGTCAGAAACAAAAGTTCTATAATTATGACAATTAAAGAAGATATAAATAATAATCAAAAAATTGTCACCTTTCAAAAAATCTCTACCCAAATTTTAGTTTAGCTTAATTGTCGTTAACCGTTAATAATTTAGCCACGAGCTTTAAACCAGCTTTAGTACAGGACATTATTAATAAAATACATCTACAGAGGACATTAATAGACACACTTGGATATAAATGGTTCAGGAATTTCAGAGCATCGACATTCAGATATGAGAAAAAGATTAATTTGATATATGTAGATTTAACACGCAACTTTTAACTCAGTTTTAAATGAAATGTTTCGGATTGTACGCATCGTTGCTGTTTTTATCTCGTTTAGCTTTGAGTAATAAATTATATTATTTATTTAAATCTCGTTTATTGATTCTAAAGTTTGTTGCTGTTGCTTTTAGTGTATGTATAGTACAAAAATGCATCGCTTACCGGTATCTCGAAAACTGCTGAACCGATTTCGCTAGTTCCTTTGTTACGTTTATTATTGTTAGGAGAAAGTATGTATCTTATCTTATGTAGGACAAAAATCTCAAATATACAGAGAAAAAAATCCAATGCAAAACTAAGTTTGTGGGGTCTACCAGTTATGAATATATAGGCGAACAAGGATTAGTCATCAATCCTTATTCGCCTATGTAAGGTGGTAAAATAGTAACCGAATAAAGAATGGTAGTCTCTTCGAGTCAGCATATTTAAGACTTTTAGTGATACAACTATGATCACCAAGCAATCTACTAGCAAATATTTATTTTCTTAAAAGTAAGGTATATTTTGAACATATTTTCTGATATCTGAATTATGCACATGATGTCTAGCTATCAACTAATAATGCATGTGATGGTAGAGACTAATAATCTAACAGCTCATATGCTACTTTTTTCTTCTTCTTCACAACTTCACACCTGTCTCCCATGGGGTTTTTTATGTGGTCTACCCACATAGGCATAATTATAGTGTTGGGCAGAGACTATGGAACCCCAATTTGAAACAGTATTTTCATGGGCGGTTAAGGTTAATTTTAACGGCCCCAATCATATCCGATCTGAATACTTCTTTCGTTACTCTACTTTCATCCATCCTTTCTACATACATGTCCAAACCAGCGTAACATTCCCATTTCAATCCTTGACACTACATCATTTTTCAATCCACACCTTTCTTGAACAACACTAATTTGGTCACAATTTTTTCATAATAATTCGGTAATCCTTATCACTTCCAATTAAAATTAATTACTTGGAGATTATACTGTAAAAAAATATATATTTATAAATAAACAAATCGATTGTAAAGTAACGACATACCTACATTCCTTGTTTAAAATATTTTAGGCCACTACATAATGTATTTGCTCGGTTCTCACACATATTTTTTTAAACATATTTTTCTGTACTATAGAACAGATGGACCTCTCGGCATTTCTTCTCAGAGTAGTCAGTTAGGAAATATCGGCCTCATCGTTCGCTTGATAAAATTAATGTGTAAAAGTGCTGCCTTGTAACCTATTTCCAGAAATAATTTACTTGTTTCAATTGTATATGTATATTGCTAATGAAGAGGATTTCAACATCTTATTTTAATTACATACTATGATCTTAATGACTTTTAATAACGCATGTATTTCATTGATTATATTACTTACTTTTCCTATTGGTAATAAAATGACTTGTCTTGTAAGGACATGGTTGTGTTCAGCGGAAATCCTTTACAATTATATACCTTGTAATATGCTTGTATTGCTTGTAACTCCTAAAGGGGTAAGCAAAGGTAGGTATATATTATGTTGCGTAAGAAATAATAATAGAGGTATAAAAATGAGTTTGCGGTCGTAGTCTGCGTTCCTTGATGTTAATTGTCTTAATATTTCGAGTGAAATAGTTGTTTTTAATTTGGCGCATTTCATTGTAGACCATATTATCGCTTTCCTTCAAGCGATATGAATATTAAACAAACACCATTTCCAATGTACTTAAATGGCATCGAAAGATGAACATAAACATAGTTTAAGTAATACCACGGCCTCACAGTAAACCGACGTGAAGCAACGCTTGCGTTGTGTTTCATTGTGTGAGTGAGGTTACCCAGTCTAGCCAACACCCTCCCCCTTCCTCAATCTCACCAATCCCCGCATCCCTAACAATCCTCAAACTCCTAATCCCCAAAAGGCCAGTAACGCACTTGTAACGCTTCTGGTGTTCCAGGTGTCCATGGGCGACGCCGATTGCTTACCATCAGGTGATTCTAATGCTCGTTTACGGCATATGCCATAAAAAAAAGTTTGCCAACTCAAGGAAAATGGGATGAGAGCAAAATTAAGCGTTATAATATTTTTTTGTTGTAAGAATAGCCTTAGGATCTCTCTTTTTATACTTAATAGGTCGACGTTTGGCCACCATCTTGCGTGGTGGTAAGCAATGATGTTGCCGACGATGGACCACGCTTACATATGAGCAACCTGTTCACTCAGGACTTGAAGACACCCAAGTCATATTTGACGGCAAACACAGACTCCGGCAAGGAATTCCATTTCTTCTCTCTCTCTCCATCTCAATCACTATAATACTAAATTTTAGAGCACAGAGCGATGGCTCGGAGTACAAAACAGTTAGTCTATTATATTCTATTTTCATATTTCAATGAGCTACAATACATTAAATAGTTTTCCTGTATTTTCTAGGACACTGGATTTCCCAGAAAATACATTTCGTTTACTATTCTGTAATTTCTTGTTAAGAATGGAACACGTTGGGATTTCATCTAGTGTCTAGAAGTGGCAACTGTAAGTTGATCTCTCTTTAATGGAAAAAATTTCAGCATGCCAGGTCAGTAGTATCATATCTACTTCTATTTTGAAAAAAACAAAAAACTATTAATAATAATTGCGATGAGAAAAATCTTCTGAAAATGGTTACCAACGCACTTGTGGTTCCTCTGATATAGAAACTGCTAGACTATATGACATCACGCCTTTTATCTGCGAAGGGGTAGACAGAGTGCACATTACGGCAATTAATGCCACTGTACACCCACTTTTCACTATTTATGTTATGAGTCCCATTTAATATTGGGGTGAGCCTATGCCATATACCAGGCACAATTCCAGACTCCGTGCTACCACTGAGATTTATTTTTAAAACCCATTAGTGCTTTGCCCGACGTGGGAATCGAACCCGAGACCCCTTGCGACCACTCGGACAATGAGTCAGGATGCTAGACTATTATGTAACATTTAATTCGAAATATTGAAGTGAACTCAATCGCGGTCCGGCTTGTCATTGGTCGTGTACAATCTCGACCAGTGACGGGTCTGAATGCGATCGAGCTCACTTTAAAGGTTCGAATTAACAATAACAGAATAGCCTGACTGTAGTTAGGCTACGATGATCACTAACCAGACAATTCGTATGTTTTGGTGCTACTGCCGTTGATATAA